TTTTTTTTTTTTTTTATCTTGCTGCCTTTTTATTTTATTGAACATTTTATAAGAAATAAAGGGGACTTCTTATTGAAACTTTATGTTGCGACTGGATATCATTTCATTTTGGAGATATTTTGTTGGTTAGGAAAAAACAATGAGAATAGATTTGAAAGAAGAATGAAAAATGTTATGTGCGTGAATGAATATGGTCAAGTTGAAATGATTAGAGGAATGTTCTCAGGTAGAGCTATGACTTAGTGAATAGTGAGAAATCTGTGGAAAATGTGTAATAATTGACTGGTAATTAAAGGATTACTTTTTTAAGTTAAGTAGAAATGTTTGGTGGTAGAAAAGTGTCATGCAAGTGGATGAATAGTGTGAAAAATCTGAGAACTTGTGTGAAAACTCAAGTTAAAAAGAGAAAAATCTACACTGGAGAGGGGTTCCAGTTGCATCTTTAATCTCTGGTTTCTGATGGATGATTTTTGTATGTTCTGTCTCCGAACTTTGGGAGATGCCATATGTTAGAACTTGACAAAAATCTACACATGGTGAATCATTTAACAAGATACATATAACTGAAGATGTATGCCTAAATTGTCACCTAAAGTTTTTTTTTTTTTCCTTTTTGTTTTTTTTTTTTTAATTTTCTTCCCCAACTTCGTTTAGGATGCAGAACCAAATGGCGAAGTGCAAGAGGAGTTGGATGAAACACAAGTAGAAGGTGGATTTATTAAGAGTCAAGAAGAGGCTCCTGTGTTGTATACCGACTCAACCAATGGTGCCATGCTCATTAATGGGAATGAGGCTGCGGAGGAAAATAGGGATATGGATAACCAAGGAAAAACGGCAGTCTAAAAGTGATTGGATTGGTGAAATTCCCTTGTTTAGTTGCTGGTAATCAACTTATACTCGAACTTTTCGTTATTTTTGGTATTAGTTCATTTTTGTTCATCCATTCGTTGTGCTAGGCATTTTCATCCACAATACCCTAGTTTGGTTTATATGGATATATTTCAGAATTGAAATAACTTCATTCTATTTGATTATTTTCCTCCTTGATGAGTTTCTGTTTTAAAAGAATCTCAGTTTTTAGTACTCTTCATTGATTTCAATTTGTTTCCATCAATCACTTCATTTTAAATAAATGAAATTATAATCATTATTACACATTTTTCTATAAATTCCAATGCACCTACTCAGATGTTTTTAGTCATCATTATTTTATTATTTTGTATATAATAAACTTCTGACATGACATTTCATCAGTTATCTATTTGCTCGTCAAAATTCTCCATTCAAATTTTTAAAAAACTGTATATATAAAAAGAAAATTTCAAATGGATAATTTCCTATCACTCCATTAGGATTCAGCTGAATGAAACATTCTCATCCGACCTATGATTTCAGTGTAAAATCTTCTCGATTTATTAATGGAAGATATGATGCTCTAGAATGACCAACTCTTGATTCTCATTTGGTCATTATGCTTGCTTGATCAAAAGTTAATTAGTCATATATCTTCATGGAGCCTTGTACTTTTGTTCACTTCTTGCTGGTTTGTCAGTGCTTACACCATATGTCATGGAAATGGAATCTACTCAAGACAGAAGGTTCAGCTGTAAACTATTTCTCTCATGGTAAGGATTCAAGATTTGTCTGAGATGCATTTTGTTACGATCAAATATCAATGGCATGTGACAATACGTTGAGAAGTTTAGCACGTCTCGGAATTAACATCAATACTTGATTATATTTATTATTTATTTGTTTATTGTATTTTTTTCCAAGCAAACGTTATTTTGTTCTTTCGTTTTTACGGTCCCTTAGACAATTAAAGTTTCCTTGTACCAGCTTTGTGCTTTATGCGATGCCCGAAAGAGGTGGTCTCGTGGAACTGAGTGTCTTTCTCCATTTGAGATGAAGGTGAATGAAATTTTTGTCGTGGGGCCCAACATTGGGTTTATTTTCAAGAGTTTCGGTTGTTTTAGCCTAGTCGAGGAATGATAGTTGCATTTTAGTTATGATATATATTTTGTGCTGATTTTTACTTGAAATTATCTCGTGGTTGTCTTGTGCTGATTTGTACTTGAAATTATCTCGTGAAGTGTAGGTAAGTACTGGTGCAAAAAATCTGTTTACTTTGAAGTGGATGTTGAGCAGTTACTGAAAATCGTAATCCGGTCGGCGAGCTTTCTTTTTCTTCCCTAATTCAGTTCAACTTTGTGTTTTGAGTATATTTTAAGGTATCAATGGTGTTAGATTTTTGGTGGTCGGAAAGAGATTTTGCTAATGATGCCATTCCACTCTAACATTTAATCTCTCTTTGATTATTGATGATACAAATCTAATAGAAAAGATCAGTTCAAAATAGTTTATTTCTAATCTGGTCATGAGCTCGAGAGGGCCTAAACGAACCCAAGATAGTGAGTTTTCACTTGGATCGTTTGCTGCTTGCTGGATCTTTATTATTATTATTATTATTATTATTATTATTATTATTATTATTATTATTATTATTATTATTATTATTATTATTTTATTTTTTTTAATTTATTTTTTAATGTTTGAACTCGTTAAGAGTAATGCTATAAAGCCCACTTGAGTTACACAAACATTTAAAGCTTTATACAAGATATCCAAAAATATCTAAACATTTTTAATTCAATCATTTTTTTTTAACGCGACTTTAATTCAACCACACAATCTTCGACATTATCAATATAATTAAATAATATTCATAAATCGTTCTTACACATCATATTAACTTTAATTCACTATTCTTCAACTAACATAATTTTAACTAACCATAACTAAACATCATTTCACATAATTTATCTTTTTTTTTTACTTTCATATCAAATCAACTTTAATTATTTTATTTTAATATAATATTCATTAACAACTAACTATACTGTATTTTTAAAAATTAATCAAACAAAACAAAAAATTCTTGTATCCCAGCATTTCTCTCATCTAAACGAGATTTTTTTTAGTGGACCAATTAGCCCAACACCGTACCGTAGTCTGTTTAACATCACGTGTATTTTATTTTATTTTAAGAAATATAGCGGAAAAAATAAGCACAAAAAGTGTAAAAAATGAGAGAATAAAAAGCGTTTACTGTACAGCTACAGCAGTATAAATTTTCTCACGCAGTCGAACTTCATCACTCTCCCCTCTTTCGTAGGGTTAGGGTTTTAGCAGATCCAAACAACGCCATTAAAAAAGGACACTTCTGAAGAGCTCCAAACATTAAAGCAAAAGCCAAAATATTTTAGATTCTCTCAGGTATGCGTTAATTTCTCAACATTCATCCATTTGGTGCGATTATTGTTTTTTTTTTTTTTTTTTAAATTATATATGCGGCTTTAATTGTAAGTTCTGTCAACCTCTACATCTATTGAGCGTTTGGTGGTTTTCAGCTTCTGTGGCGTTATTTCGGGAATTTAGGTTTGTCTTTTCAGAATTCGTTTTGTGAATTGAGAGAATTTGGCATTCGTACCTGAAGTGACTATGAAGTTTTATGCGTTTGTTTCAATTAATGATTCTCATCACACTCCTTGTTTTTTGGATTTTCGATTGCCTAGTAAGCTGCAATTTCTACTGATTGAGGTTTGATAATGAAATATTGGGTTTGATCATTGTGGATTGGTATTCCAATTTTGAAACGAAACAGCGAGGGAAACTTTTGCGAAAAAAATGAAAGGGATTTGATTTAATGGATTTTTATAATCTATCATGGTGTTGGTTTATGTGGGGATCTTGGTATCTTGGTATCGTAGATTGAAGAATATTTGGTGCACATTTGTTTATGATGGATTTTACCGAAATTACATACCTTTTACGTATAATACATTGCAATCTATTGCAAATATAATAGTCATATTTTATATATTGTAGTTTTCAGACGAGAGAATGATTTTATGGAATTTTCGCATCTGTGATTGGATTCCACAATATCATCAAAATTTTTGTCACTGTAAAATGATAAAGGCAAATGTCATTTTATGTTTCTAGTGATTTGTTGACTCAAAATGTTGATCGACTATGGTTCATAGTGGTCCAATGGCGTTGCATTTATTCCTCAAACCTTGCAAAAGCTTACTTCCCATTTACATTCGGCCCTCTAAGTTCTATGGTTGTAAAAGTGTAAATATAATGTACCTGCAAACAAGATCACATGAAGCTTAAAGGTGAATAGATATTATCAAGCATCTTGTTTCAGATACTTGTAGGAACTAGGGCAAGTTGATAAGTATTATTCATTCCATTTTACCAAATATATTACATATGAAATGACCTCATTGATTTTTCAAAACTCTATTCATTTGAAAAGAAATCCGAATCAACTTTTAGTCAGTGTTATCAAATGGCGGCCATGGTGTGGCCGATTTCTGCCAAACTGCCATGCAATATTTATGAAGGATGACGGTTATGGTGGCGCCATAGGTCGCAATGGCGAGATTTTGGGCTGCCGCCATGTATTGCCATCTGCCATTAATAACACTGATTTTAGTATTAATCCATATGATATCAATAGAGGAGTTAAAGGAAAAGATGGTAAATGAAATAAAAAACTTTGGTTGGATTCGTTTGGTAGCTCATCTGCATGCACATCATTTATTTTTTCTTTCTTGGTGAATCCTCACGTCATCCATGCTGGGTTTGTCAAGTGTTGCTTTATATTCAATGCATCTTTCTAAAATGATCCTGAAAATGAAAAAAAAAAAAAAAGTGTTACTAGTGTTGTGCTCACAATTGTATTTTTATTGGTGATTTTGTCACGCTTTCTGAAATATGAAACATGGCTGCTGTTCATCTTCTTAACAAGTATGGACCAAATTTCATTGGAACATGAATCAGTTAACTTTTAAATAACCAAGCTAGTAGTTTTCTTTAGATGTAAGCTTTCTTTGCTTTTCATCCACGATACCCATGTGTTTCACTTTCTGTTAACATCCAACAGGCATGCATCTGTGATACTCTTTGAGAACATCTCTTCAATTTTCCTCAAAATGGATGCCATTTTAATAATAGCGTAATTCAATTTGCCTACTTGTAAATGTTGGTAATTTTTATTGAAACTTGGTAGAATAAAGTTCAATCCATTTGTTTCACGCCACCCACTTCTTATACAATGAATGAAATATAAAAATTAGAAATTTTGGTGGTATTGCATATCTCAGCACAAGCAGGCTTATCATACTCAGTACACTCATTGATGTTTTTCCCTGACCATTTTTTTTTCCTGTGGTTTGATCCAGTGACTGCTGATTCCCTTTGAGACTTGAGCAGAAAATCCTCATCTGCCATTCCAACTTCATTTTGCCATGGGGGATGCAGAAAGCTTCCAACCTTCCAAGAAGAGGGCCGCCGGAGTTCAACTCACTCGTGATAACCCCGAACTCGACGAGGAAAATGATAACGCGTCTGGACTGGAGGCGGGCAGCACTTTCAAAAAGGCGAGCGAGGAGGTTTTGGCCACTAGAAGGATCGTCAAAGTACGCCGCCAGCAGACGACATCCTCATCTGCCCCATCCGCCCCGGCCCCAACTTCTTCAAACCCATTTGCTGCCATCCGGTTGGTCCCTCCTCCCTCTTCTACTGAGCAAGCTGATGAACTCAAAACTGAAAGCAAGGCTGAAGATCCCAAAGGCGAAAAATATAATGCGGATGAGGAGAAAGCTGATGTCAGCAGTGACAAGGCTGATAAACAATCTGAGGGAGAAGCCGATGACGGCCTGAAAGCCGATCCAAGTAATGCTGACAAGGATGAAAGTGATGGCACATCCAAAACTCCAGTCGAGGGTGAGGCTGAGAATGATGCAGTAAGTAATGATGAAGAAAATGAGGTTGTTGCCAGCAATGACGTGAAAGATTGTGAAAATGATGAGAACAAGAAGGAAAACGGAGATGAAAATGCTAAAAAGAATACAGAGGCCACCCCTTTCAGCTCATTTCAGCAGCTGTCGAGCGGCCAGAATGCATTCTCAGGGCTCGCCGGGACTGGCTTTTCCAACACTTCGTTTTCCTTCGGGCTGCTCTCCAAAGACGGGGGCACCAATTCTCTTTTTAGTGGGTTTAGTTCTTCCAACACCGAAACCCCTTCTCTTTTTGGTAACTCCTCTGTGGCGAATGCCGTAAGCCAGAAAGAAGACAGTAAGTTCCCTCCCATGCAAGAGGTTTCTGTGGAGACTGGCGAAGAGAATGAAAATGCTGTTTTCACTGCCGACTCCATTTTGTTTGAGTATATCGATGGAGGCTGGAAGGAGCGCGGGAAAGGGGAGCTCAAGGTGAACGTCTCAACTTCCGGGACTGGGAAGGCCCGCCTTGTCATGCGGGCCCGGGGGAATTACAGGCTGATTCTGAACGCGAGTCTTTTCCCGGATATGAAGCTGACGAATATGGACAAGAAGGGGGTCACGTTCGCGTGCGTCAATAGTGCTGCTGAGGGCAAGGATGGTCTCTCTACAATTGCTCTGAAGTTTAGGGATGTCCTGATTGCTGAGGATTTTAAAGCTGCTGTTATGGAGCACAAAGGTAGTAAGAGTAGTGATGTTGTGGGTTTGAAAACCCCTGAAAATTCTCCGAAGGCTGAGTAAAATGATACTTACGTTTTGAAATATTGGGGCGAGGAAGGTTAAGGGAAGTTAGTTATGGGAGGTCTGGTAACTTTGAACCCCTCTGTGGTTCTGTTGAGGACCTGAAAAAGCTTTCACATTTCCTCTTTTTCTGTGTCTCTATTTTTCATCTTCTTCTCTCTTTTTTTTTTCTTCTTCTTAGCGAGGTTAATTGAGTGATGGATGCCATGTTACAATCTGAGGACATAAAAAGGCTAAAGACTCGAGTCTTCAAGTCTACTGTTGTTTTTGTTGTGTCGATTATATCTAAATTACCGATGATGTAATGTGATTTTGGAGCTTATAACATGTTATGCTTTGAGACATGCTGCCTTTGATACTTTTGAATTATTGTGGCAGTTATAAGGGGTATAATGAAGGTGAATTGTCTGATGTTTTTGGTTTTTACAGTATCTGTCTGTATATAGTTGTGATGTTTTGATCATGAGAAAGTTGAAAATAGTTATATGAGATTGTTTAATAAACAACTGGTGCTTCATGAGAAAACATTTTTCACTTTGTTTTTATTCAGTTACAACGACAAACAAAACAACGCATCACAATCACAAATTCCAACAGGGGAAATTTATTTATCAACATGAATCTGCTGGATGGTTCTTAACTTCCACTGATAATACAGCTATATTTCGATCTTCTTGAAGTAATATATGTTTAAGCTTGTGTTCGCGTTTAAGCTTGTGTTCGTTTTTTAAGCTTGTGGGATCGAAATACTGCTGCTGGAGGGCACAGAAGACAAATCATTAAAACACGAACACAAGCTTAAACATTTATCAAGTAGGGAATAACATAATAAAGGCCAGCTGGTCTAAGGAAATGAGTAGCTCTTGACACATTTGTTGGAGCACGATCCCACACAGCCATCAACTTTTTCACCATCTGCACACACACATACGAAGAATCATTGTTTTTGTGAGAGTGTGAAAGAGAAGTTTCACTGACTGGGAGCATGTCTTGTGCTGAAATTCGAGCACATAGAAATCGCGCAGCCGAGCTTACAGTAGTCGAGGCCATCCGAATCTTGTTCACGAACATCATTCTGAAATTTTCGAAAGATGCAGTCTTTCAAGCAGCCGGTGGTGCACGAACAAATTGTGTTAAAGGGATTGATCATGCACGCGACGAAGCATTTTGCGTAGCACTCTTCGAAGCCCGCGCTCGACTGCCCAGTCAGCATTAGTCCGACTGCCAAAATTACCAACACTTGGACTGCCTTGAAGTTTCTCACTTTCTCCATCTTTTCAGATTTTTGTTCCTGATTTATGAAGCTTTGCACAAATGAAAACTTATATAAACTCTCCCAGTATTACCATATAATTATACACTTGACTAAATAAAAATAATGCTCTTTGTCAGTCATATGAATGGCCAGCAAGCCCCATTTTCTTAAAACTCTGAGTGGCCAGCAAGCCCATCTTCTTAAAACTTTGGTTGTCACCCTTTTCAAAATCTTGAAACTGTTTTTCTTTAATTGATAAGATACGAGTAGCTTGAGGGTATTATCAATTTTGCGACGATCCGGGAGGGCAAAATGGTAATTGGCAGACTATCCCCTCATCAGATTGGAGGTGCCATTGTGTGTGTGGATGTGTTGATTGTCATGTTTATCAAGTATGAAAACTTTGGCTGAAGATTCTACTTCGTAATGAAGAAAAAATAGTCACCAAAATGAAATGGATACGTTCAGGCCACAAAAATGCAACATGTGATTGTCCTTTGTCTTTTCCAGTGGTAGTAGTATTAATACTACCAATTTTAGAATGTTTTTTTATTTTTTCTGCAAATCTATCTGGACTATACCTGAAATGATAATAATAATAATAATAATAATAATAATAATAATAATAATAATAATAATAATAATAATAATGGAGAATAATTTAAAGAAAAACATGGGTGGTCAAGGATATTTTAGTATTTTTGGACAGGATTATACAGGTAATTTAAATTAATATGTCAACTAGGAGCATAAAATTATTGGGGAGAAGATAAAATTTGCTTCATGTACTATACATGATTCTTTATCTTGGCAATTTAAAGTATTTTTTTCTTAATAAAATACAACAATTATAATAAAATACAATTTAAATATTTTTCTTCTTATGCCTATTGACCCCAAAAATCCTCGTAATACAGCTTGTATATACATTGCTTTTCCAAATAAATGGAGATACCGTATTCACGGTATAGTGAAGAATGTCAATTAAGAGCTTGTATACATTGCAGCTTGTATCTCATGGACATGGCATCATAAAGAGCCAAGATAAAAACATGGATAGACATCGAAATTTTAATATTTTATTAATTAGTGTCTTTATTTATTTTTTGATTTGAATTCAAGATAAATAAAGTAAATATTTTTTGCACACACCAAAATTGTATGATAATGAAAAATCTTAGGATAAAGAGAGATATTATATCAAAACATGGAGAGAACCAATCAAATTGATATCATATTCTTCTCAAGACTCTGTCTCCTATACCTATGCATAGGAGGGGCCTTCTCAAAGCCACAAAATCACATCTCATACACCTCATAAGTCAAAGTCTCAAGTTCAAGAGCTCTCCACAACTCTCTTAAGATTTGAAGACACCTTCGAAGATCTCCCAATGAAGAAGAAGGCCAAAAAGAAAAGAAAAAGAAAAAAGAGGTGGCGATCCTTCTCTAATAAATAAACAGACGAAATCCATTAATCTCAAATCACTCAAGAACATCAATGACGTTCAAGCAACATTCAAGCCGCGTTTGTTGAGAAGCTCAAGCAACATAGCGTTTGATCCAAGAAAAAACTCTCAAGCCATTGAGTAAACGTTATTCAAATTCAAATTCGTCTTCTATAAGGACCGAAGAAGCAATTCCTCCAAGATATTGTCTCCAATCAAATCAAGTCTAAATCGTTTAATTCGAGATCAAGTCATTCGACCCCCCAATTAACGTTAGACAAATTCAAGCTCAAGCATGAAGGAGATCCAAACGCGAAATTTGTGACACTAAGTGGGACTTGAAAATAAAATTCATTGTTATAAATTTGACACGACCAGTAGGACTTGAAATAAAAATTCATTATTACAACATGAATAGAAGAATTTAATTATTTTGCCTTGGCTTTTACATAGGACTTGAAATAAAATTAATGTTTCATTATCTGATACTTAACCAAAAGGAAAAGGCTAAATCTGAATGATGCTCAAGTCTTGATGGTCGGTCCTTAGAGCAGACGTCGGATGCATTCACGAAACTTAGGACCATCTGCAAAATTACAATAAAACGAGTACATTTATAAGGCCAAAATTAAGAGTACAGATAAATATCTATGTTTCAATATAAGAAAACAAAACAATATTAAAGCACATAAATATGAGATTTAGGCCAGAAAAATCAATTAGTACTGTTCTGAGGCAATGAGTAGCTCTTGACACATTTGTTGGAGCACGATCCCACACAGCCATCAACTTTTTCACCATCTGCACACACACACACACACACACACACACACACACACACAAAGAAACAGATTAATTAAAATATATATATTTCTAAAAAAAAATAAAGAATAAGAATCATTCTTTGTGTGTGAGTGAGAAAGAGAAGTTTCACTGACTTGGAGCATGTCTTGTGCTGAAACCCGAGCACATAGATATAGCGCAGCCGAGCTTACAGTAGCCGAGGCCACCCGAATCTCGCTCACGAACATCATTCTGAAATTGTTGAAAGATGCAGTCTTTCAAGCACTGGGTGGTGCACGAACAAAGTGTTTGAGAAGGCTCGATCATGGAGAGCGTATGGGCCTATGAGACAAGGAAGAGCTCCCCTGCGACGAAAGAGTCAACGGAGCAATGGATTATTTGAATCCCGGTTACTTAGGCCCTTTAGGCCGATTTAACATTCGTTTAGGACCCTTGAGTGCTATCACCTTGCGAGGGAGGTATGATCCGAGGTACAAGTTCACTAAAAACACTGGATTTGGGTGGGCCAGGTCCCGGTAGAACTCGAGGAGGATCCTATACTCCTAGACCCGAGATGGAAGGAAGACACTCATATGTTCAGGAACATGCAATCAAGCAATCGTCACTCGTGATCAATCAATCGATCTCTTAATCAATTCTCGCTCACGCAATCAATAACAATATCACAAAATCTCTAGCCTACGACTACGAGGATGATAGCATAATCGACTCGTGGACATGTCTATCTTAACCCTAGAATAAATCCAATAAGTAAAGACAAACAAGACTTGCGAAATCATGGACCTTAAACGAAGTCTCCAAGTCTCTAGTGCATCCACGAGAAGAAATAAGCCAAAAAGTTGTAATCTTGATGGAGAAATATTACAATAAAAATAGGGTCTTGGAGCCCTTAGAGAGAGAAAGAAAACTAGAGAGAGAAGAGAGCAAAAACTAAAAAAAAAATTAGCAAATGAGGAATTCTCTCAATTTACAAAACAAGATGTCTATTTATAGATACACCACAAGCACACACTAAAACACACACATTTAATAATTTAGCACTCGCTAGGTAGCGAAATAGTTCGCTAGGCGAACTGGACTTGTGGTATTGTGCACACTCGCTAGGCGGCGAACACGTTCGCTAGGCGGATAGGTCTTGTGAGTCTTGTGCACACTCGCTAGGTGGCGAACACATTCGCTAGGCGGACTGGACTTTCGGATCTTGTGGACGGTAATGACTCAACAACGGCTCGGGGTTTCTTAGAAAGGTTCGTGCTCTCGAAACTTGACTCGATTCTTCTCTTTCAACCTCCAAAATGGACCTAAAAATTGCATCAAAGACAAGAGAAAATACGCCTAAATACAAACGCCAAAGAGAAAATAAAAACACACGGAATCAATTAAAATGGACCGGTTAAGCAAGAAAACAAACCTAAAATTGATTCAACTACACACAAAAAACACATAAAAAAGAAGCACAAAAACACAATAAACAATACGTTAGATTGTCATGTTTATCAAAAGAATGCAACATGTGATTGTCATTTGTCTTTTCCAGTGGTAGTATACTACCAATTTTAGAATGTTTTATATTTTTTTTTTTCTACAAATCAATCTGGACAAGACCTGAAATTGAAAAAAACAAATAAAAAAAAAACTTATGATAAGGAAAAATCTTAGGATAAAATGAGAAATTATATCAAATTATTGAGAGAACCAATCAAATTGATTTCTTTTTCGCCGAGACTCTCTTCTATACCTATACATACGGCTCTTCTCAAAGCCACAAAATCACACCTCATAAATCAAAGTAAGTCTCGAGTTCAAGAGCTCTCCAGAATTCTCTTAAGATTTGAAAACACCTCCGAAGATCTCCTAATGGTGAAGAAGGCCAAGAAGAAGAAAAAAAGGTGGCGGAAGAAGACCAGCAAGAAGAAGAAAACAGGTGGCGGTCCTTCTCCAATAAATAAATAAACGAAATCCATTCATCTCAAATGATTCAAGAACATCAATGACGTTCAAGCAACATAAGCCGCGTTTGTCGAGAAGTTCAAGCAACATAACATTTGATCGGAGAAAAATCTCTCATGCCCTTGAGTTAACGTTATTCAAGTTCAAATCCGTCTCAAGACAGACCCGAAGAAGCAAGTCATCCAAGAAGTTGTCTCCAATCAAATCAAGTCCAAACCGTTTAATTCGGGATCAAGTCATTCGACCCTCAATTAACGGTAGGCAAATTCAAGCTCAAACATGAAGGAGATCCAACCGTCAAATTTGTCACACTCAATGGGACTTAGAAATAAAAATCATTGCTACAAATTTGACACGCCCAAAATAAAAATTCATTATTACAACATGCATAGAAGAATTTAATATTTTGCCTTGGCTTTTACATAGAACTTCAAATAAGATTAATGTTTCATTATCTGATACTTAACCAAAAGGAAAAAGCTAAATCTGAATCATGCTCAAGTCTTGATGCTTAGAGCAGACGTCGGATGCATTCACGAAACTTAGGACCATCTGCAAAATTACAATAAAACGAGTACATTTATTATAAGACCAGTACAAATAATTATTTATATATGTTTCAATATAAGAAAACAAAACAATATTAAAGCACATAAATGTGAGATTTAGGCCAGAAAAATCAAATACTGTTCTAAGGTAATGAGTAGCTCTTGACACATTTGTTGGAGCACGATCCCACACAGCCATCAACTTTTTCACCATCTGCACACACACACACACACACACACACACACACAAAGAAACAGATTAATTAAAATATA